TTCAAATATCCACTCACAAAAATCTGAACTCATACCTCAATCCTTGAAAATACAGAATTTGAAGACTCGTGTACATTTTGAATGTTGAGGGTTTTGTTTGTCAACAATCAGTGGCGAAGTCAGGGGATACTTTTAAGAAAAAAAATCTTATAACTTTCTTTTTTTCACTTGTTAAAAGTTAAATAGGCTTGGGACACTACTCCCTCGCTCTGCCCCTATCCACAATATTGTCCAATATTATCTAATATAGTATACTTGCTCATTATATGCATTCTTAGAATTACGAAATTTGAAGATTCTTGTGCATTTTGACTATTGATGGATTTCGACATCAATGATACCTTCCAATGTTATTTAGCCCCCGTTTATTGTAGATTAAAATCAGAGTTTTAGTAGATTTTGATAAAAGTTGATTGAATGTATGGTTGAAAAGTTGTGAATCTCATAAAATGTGTGGTTAAAATTAATTGTTAACTTTGACTTGAGATTAAAATCAGATTTTAATTTTTACCGAACAAGACTTAATATTGTACGCGTTTGCCTATTATGTACATTTTAGCTAATTGTGAATCCATAGGGTGTGGGATTGGAGAAACCTACGTACCCAAGTAAAATCATAGTGATGAGAATCTTGTTACCTTACCATCCACTTCATTAAAGTTGGTAGTAGTAGAAGAAGATTCTATCTCTTTATTATTCGAGGGTAGGGTTTGTTTCCTCCTTTTAATCTTCGTGGGTTTTTGTGCTCTTAATTTAGAATCTTAGAATTGGAACACAGACAGATATTCCTTCCTTACAAACCAAATATTTTATTCTTTCTAATGAATGTCTCAAATATTCGCTTTTCCTCTCTTAATTCACTTTAATTATGCAACTTTTGGAACCTAAAAGAAAGTGGCTTAATTGCATTTGATACCCTACTCCATTTCAATATATCATACCCCCTTTCACCCCTCCTTTAATTTCCTTTATAGATAGTAAAAAATACGTCTCGGTTTCAGTCTCGACACTCTCTACACGTATTAGTTCTTGATAGTTTAAACTTTTCAATAAAGTCGATGAATATGCTCTTTAAAACCATCATATAAAGGATTAAGGAGAGTAGAGAATCATTCACACATTTTAAGAACCCTCAAGGACTAGTTAAAGTACCACAAGAAGTATAATTATGCTAAATTCTCTGCCATTATTCAATCATTATTACTGCTTAAAGGTAATTAATTCCATATCGTATACTCATCCGCTCATCACGAGTGTTTGAGGTTTCATTGAGCGTCTATTTTTCAGGAGAATGCAAATTTAATACAAAAATGAGTTTTATTAAAAGCTTAATTTAGCTCTAATTTTATGAGTTTATGAATGGAAGTAGGAACAAATGTAAAGATTAAAAAAGAAAAGAAAAAGTAGACTAGGGAGAGAGAATAATCTATATATCCATGTTTGCTTTAGCTTAAAATTAAGTTTTAACTTACTATTTAAGTAAATTTTGTTTCCAAATAATGTGTTACATTCTACTTATAACTAATTAAAATATTTATTTAATACTAAAGTAACAAATACTATAATAATTAATTTATTTTCAATTTTATTGAATAAAAAAATTGTGGAAAACTTGTGATAATTCGCTCAATCTTCCACGTATTGTGGTTATGGATCCTAATCCTTCAAATGTGAGGTTATGGTATGCAACTCACCAACTTATATGAATTTATAAATTTGAGTCGATACTTATTGAAAATTGCGAATTAAAACAGAATGGAAAAACGATCAAATCACTCAACATTATGTTGTTCCCGATTATCTTATAAGATAAAAAAATATTTTTTTTGTGTATAAATATTACTAATAAGGCAAAAAATCACTTATAAAATATGAAAATTTACTTATAAGTAAAAAATTCACTTTTGTGAAAAAATTATTTAAAATACAAAATTAACTTATAATTATAAAGTTTATTCATAACTAAAAATACAAACATAAAATTTTAAGTAAATATTTAACTTTATTTGACTTTTTAAGTTAAATATTAACTTATATGTAAAAAAAATTACATATAAGTAAAATATCACTTATAAGTAAAAAAATTTATACAAAAAATTATAAATTGAAAATTTAGTAAATAACATATATGTAACTTTATTTTTTTGAAAAACTTTCAAGTCCGGTGGATAATAAACTGTCAATCATAGGTTGGACTGTTTTAAAAATCACTACTAAAACTACTCATAATTGATTCGCTCATAACGTGCAAAATCGATACTTTAAAAAACTCTCGTAACTAGTATGCTTGAACTCCCAACCAGGCCCATAAAGACACATACAAAGGTTCGGAAACCAGGCTACAGTAGCACAGGCTCCACCCCACTCACATTATGTCATCCCCTATACATCAATCTATGTACACATAGATTAATCCTAAATATATTATAGCTGCCTTTGCTCTTTCTTTGCAAGAAGTTACCATCCCTTCTCTTTACTTCTTTAACCCTTTTTCTTTTCTTACTTTCTCTCTCCAAAACTCCACTTTATTCTCCTCGAACCCAACCCTAAAAAAGAAGGCACCCCCAGGCCCCCTCAATCCTTCTTATGTTCACAAACAACATCCCTTCCCTTTCTCTCCCACCATTTAGGTTTCAAACACAGAAAGAATCAGCCAATACCACTCTTTATAGCTCATATTTTTTGGGTTCCTCTTGTTTTATCATCATCATAACTATCTATTGATCAAAATTTGTATTCACACAGATTATTGAATTCATATTTACAGGGAAAAATGATGACTTCATCGTCTGAACTAAGCCTTGACTGCAAACCCTACAGCCATTCCACGCTTCTTAAATCATTTGGAGAACGGATTGCTGATTCTGATACCAAAAAACTTGAAGAATTTCTAGCTTGTCTTGAAGAAGAAAGACTCAAGATTGATGCTTTCAAACGTGAACTTCCTCTTTGCATCCAACTCCTCACCAATGGTGCGTTTATTTCTGTTAACCATCTCATCTAAAAGGTTTCAGCCCATTTCGACACTATTCATATTTTTCTTGCTTGAAAATAATTTCTTACATCTGAACGTGTATATTCTCTATATATTCTACCAGTAGTTTCTTGAAATGGATATTCATGGCTTTTGAAATAGGGTTATGTTCTTAATCATGTGAGAAATATCCTTTTATTGGCACAACTTTTATTGTAGATGAGCAAATATGATAATCTTATACTTCAAAAAAAAAGCCCAGGAAAATTTTTTTTTTCAACGAAAGATACCCATATGTAGTTTTTGAGTTAATGACGAGAAACTCTTTTACCAGCTATGGAGGTATCAAGGCAACAGCTTCAATCCCATAGGGCAAGTGCAGGGCAAAGACCAGTTCTTGAAGAATTTATTCCACTTAAAAACGCAAGTTCTGAAGGAAATGAAAATGCTATAAACATGTCAGATAAAACAAACTGGATGACTTCTGTACAACTATGGAGTCAAGCAAATGATGAAATTACGAAGCAACAATCATCTCCAAAAGAAAGCGATATGGGTTTTGGAGTCAGACCCAAGCTAGGTTTAGATGACAGGCAGAGAAATGGAGGAGCTTTTCATCCATTTTCGAAAGATAGAAATTCATGTCCAAGCCCATGTTTCCCAGATTTGGCTCTTGCTTCATCCCACAAGGAGATGGAAGAAAATAAAAAGAACTCAGAAGCTAGGAGAGAAAATCCTGGGAAGTATACTGATTCATCGGCGGAGAAAGGGCAAGCTAAAGATACACAAACCGCCGGAAACAACCACTCGACCTCCGCGCAAACTCACCGGAAAGCAAGGAGATGCTGGTCACCGGATTTGCACAGGCGTTTCGTTAGTGCTCTTCAGATGCTAGGCGGTTCTCAAGGTAATTGACCTGATCTGCGGTTAAAGGTGCAAGAGAGAATAACTTATTCTTCTATGCACCAAGACCAAACCATACTTTAACTTCGTTCGGAGACGAAAAAGAAGACTATCATTGCATGTTTTACTCAGAGGAGTTATATCTTCCTTAGTGGTAAAGTGATTGGTCAGCTTCATCATAGGAGTCTAATCATTTTGGATGATAATAATTGCAGTGGCCACGCCGAAACAAATCAGAGAATTCATGAAGGTTGATGGTCTGACCAATGATGAAGTAAAAAGCCATTTGCAGGCACACATCTCTCTCTCTCTCACACACACACACACACTATTGTACCAAAAGAAAACATCTTTTGTCCTGTTCATAAATTCTCATCACAAGTACAAAAAGTACTGGTAACACCATGCACTATGCTTACATTGTCTGTTCTTTGTACTCAGAAATACAGACTTCACACTAGAAGACCAAGTCCCAGCCCACACGCAGCAGCCACAGCAGGTCCCCAAGTGGTTGTCCTAGGAGGCATATGGGTTCCACAAGAATATGCAGCAGCTGCCGCCCATGGCGGTGCCGCACCAGCTGCTCTTTACGGTGCACACCCTTCTTCTCATGTATCACCCTACTGTTCAGCACAACCAGTACCCCAAGAATTCTATTCTGCACTAACGCCGCCACAGCCACCCATCCACCACCAGCTCCCTGTGTATAAGCCACCAATATCACAGGCACAGACACATAGCTCACCCGGGTCCGATGTTCCGGGCGGAACCTTTGATCGATCTGAAAGCATGGAAGATGGGAAGTCTGAGAGCAACAGCTGGAAATCTGATAGTGTTGTGGAAAATGGAGAGAGAAAAAGATTGATGCTAAAGGAGGAAGGTGAAGAGAGCAATGGAAATGAGATTGCTCTTAAATTCTGATTATCTTTGTGATTTAGTTAAGGTTAACGACTAAGTTTAGGGATAGAGTAATTAACTATTTGTTAAACTCCATTGCTATACACAGAGAGAGGAATAAAAATAGCATAACCAAGAAAAAAAAACTTTCGTGTTGTACCGTTTGATTGTATGCCTCGATGTCTCTTATTTGATATAAATTATTGAGGAATTGATTTATAATTAACATCTGTTTGAGCCAAATTATTGTAGAATGAGAATAAAAAATATAGTTCTTATTGGGCCAACATAAGAGTTAGAAAATTTCAATTTAAATGTTGATATGATGGAT